CGCCAGGGAATACTTTGCCACTGTGCTATGTCATCAGGATGGAAGCATGTATATAACATTGAAACCGAACCAGCTGGTATCACAGTGGATGAAAAGTTGCATTGGTTACCTGCGGTTAACCTGACTTGAATGTATATACCATTACGACCACGACCAAAGTTACTACTCCCAACGTAACCATCCATACCACCACGATGCACACTTATCGTCTCACCCTTGTCGTGTTCATTGCACTCATCACAACTTCTCCTCTTGCCTCCGGGAAAGTCAACTTACGGCAAGATGACGTCGCCGCCTGCGAGACCCAGGTCGCTGCGGATCAGGTTGCCTGCATCGGCGATTGCAACAGCAACTCAGCTTGCATTACTGCCTGGTAAGTAGGACTGGTTGTGTGGCTCACGAATAAATGTGACGAAGATTGTGGCTGACTTCAAGCCGCAGTAATGACCTTGTTTCTGGATATACAGCCTGTACGGGGAATTAGTTACTTAATAGGCTTCGAAGTCACGTGGCCGGGACCGATTTCAAACACGTTAGTAATCCAGAATGATGTAACTACGGATTATTAGCGATTAATAGAATCACTGAGGGTTTGGTGATCTAGAATAAACCAAGGAATTAGTAAAGGGGAGAATAGATAACGTGATTAATAAGCTAGACACGCACTTTTCAATATTGACGATGGGCAGTGAAACCACCCGCAGGTTTAAGGTGTAAAATGATGGCAACGAATAACAAGATCCTCAACAAGACCTTACTATCCGGGAGGTGGAAAGAAATAACAAGATCAAGAGCTCCTTGCCCTGATCGGAACGACAAGTACCTCAACAGGTACTAACAACTGTAGCCTCAGCAGGCTGGGGAAGAAAAGGAACCTCAACAGGTCCTTGAACAATCACCTCAACAGGTGAAAGGTGGGGACAATGGCCTCAGCAGGCACAATCTGTCGAATATCACGTGTGTCCAATCGAGTAGTCAGCAGTGCGTAAGATTGTATTATGAATGAGGTGTGTTCTTGTCTGTCTGTCTTCTGTTCTCGCGAACTCCCGTTGCTCTGCCTTTTATAGATGCTTTAGAACATGTCGGTAACTTTGGTGTTACTTTTGAGAAGAGGGGTTCCTTTCGCCTTCTGAACTTTAAGTGACAATAGTCTTCTCTAGTGCCATATTATTTCTGAACCTAGGAACCAGGTGCCCTATCTGACACAATCAGATCTATAGGGGCAACAAAAGTACCTCAACAGGTACGTCAGACATTGAATGCCTGTCCAAGTAAAGAGAAATTGGTTCAGATTACTGTGGAAAAGGCCGCTTGAATTTCTATCTTTTTCTCAAGAGAGTGACTATATACATAAGGTCTTAAATACCCTTCAAGAATGCGCTTACATAACTCGTCTGAAACCGGAAAAAACGAAAACGAGCACCCAAAAACCCTAGCCCCACGTCGATATACTACATTTTTAAGTCTAATTATGTAAATATGATACTATAAATGAACTTAAACTGTTATTATTATTATTATTAAATACGCCGTAGGCTCGAAGCCCCCGGTACCTCTACAAGTGCTCCCGTATGTCAAACCGTGCCCTAATGGCTGGACTAAATACATACGCTGCTACGTAGGTTCGCTCTATTAGCGACTGCGTTACGTCCACCAATACTATGTTAGTTCTCACCCTACTAACAAAGTCCCCCTGAGAAGATCGATATTATCCGGGCCTAAGCGCTATCCGGCCAGTCCTGAGTAGCCACCTTGGGATAGTCCCGCTGACTACTGGTTTCCCCGTCGCCGTTGCCAGGTCTACGTGTATGCAGCGGCCATGGTGCGATAGTGGCCCGTAGGCGGTCTCTCGATTCTTCCAGCAGGCCGCAAAAGAGGATTACGTGCTCTGCCGTCTCGGGGGCCTCTCCACAGCAGCATAACGGCGAGTACACACCGAAGGCTCCTATCTTAAATAAGAAAGCTGATAGTCCTATTTTTCCGGTCCTGATCTGGCATAGGGTAGACGCCTCCGGTCGGTTTAGGTCTGAGTACTTGCCCTGTTTCGGCATTCGCATCGAGGGGCCCTCCGGCTCCTCGGCGATAGCGCGTCGCTGGCGGTCGTGTTGTGCTGCCCCGGAGAGCCATCTCTTCTCCCAGTGGTCTAGGAGGGCGGCCGGGACTTCCTTCGCCTTGCCTATCCACTCGGAGCCCCTAGCCTCCTTCTCTATCGTGTACCCCGCTGGTCTGAGCGATTGTGACGTCCGCTTCCGTCTCGCCGGCGTGTCCTGTCGGAGTATGTGTGACGCTCTCGCGCTCGCGCTCCGAAGCAGGCTACTTTTGCCGTTATTCCGTAGCCGTTCTTCAAATTTCGCCGCCCGGGCACTGAGATATAGGTCTAGTGGCGGGATAGCTGCCTCTATTTCTAGGTGTCGGACCGGTGTCGCTTTGTAGGCGCCACAGACTATTCGGAGGCACTCATTCTGTATCCCGACTAGGCTCTTAGCTGGCCCCGCTGGTTCCTCGCTTATAATGTGCCACGCAGCCGCTCCGAAGGCGATCGCGCTGCGAATAACTGACGTGTACAGTAGTCTCGCCCGTATGAGATCGCAGCCCCACGCCATGTTCACTAGCTTTGTTAGGGCTAGGTTCTGAGTTGCCATTTTTGATTTAACCCGCTCGGTATGGGCGTGCCACGTTAATTTGCGGTCAAACCAGACCCCTAGGAACCTTGCCGAGACCTTCGGCGTTACTGTAGCGTTTCCAAGACGGATACTCTGCGGGGAGGGGTCTCGGGTTCTAGTGAAGTGCATCAGCTCACTCTTGTCCGGAGCGAACTCCATCTCGTGCCTGGCGGCCCACCGTTGGCACGTAGCCCAAGCGTCCTCTAGTCGGCGGCAGGTCGTGCCCGTGTCTGTGCTCACGCTAAGTAGGTTCGTATCGTCCGCGAACCCTACGACTAAGAGTAGGGGGTGTTTCTCCGCTAGTTCCTTATATAGCGTCGAGATATATAGGATAAATAGTATCGGGGAGAGTGGCGACCCCTGGGAGACGCCAGCTCGTAGAGGGATCAGCTCTGACTCCTTACCATGGAACCGGAGGCGTACTGTCCTATCCTCTACGAAGCTGTGTACCCATTCCTGAACCCACTCCGGGTAGCCCTTCCGGGCTAGTATAGAAATCAAACGCCTGTGGTTAACTGTGTCGAACGCCCCCTTAATATCAAGTTGTAGTAGTGTGGCGATCCCTCCGCGCCTCCAAGCTGTATAGGTTACGTCCTCGACTATACGTATCGCTAATTCGGTGGACCGCCCCTTTCGGTTACCCATTTGGCCGTTTGGTAGCAAACCGGCCGTCTCCGCGACGGTAGTGATACGCTGGCATATCACGGCCTCTATCACCTTCCCTATCGTACTAAGCAGCGCTATCGGTCGCCAGCCGCTAGGGGTCTGCTTTTGGGCTATCGTTTTGTTCGGCTTAGGGATAAAGACTACCTTTGCCGAGCGGAGGCGCTCCGGGTAGTATCCTAGCCTAAAGCTTACGGTCGCTATATCCGCTAGGATCTCCCATAGGGGTTTACCACAGATTTTCAGCAGGTCCGTATGGAAGAATTAAAGTACTAGAAAAACTTGTAAAGGATCTAGTCAAAGACTATTACGAGTATCCAACACACTGTTACTAAGGAACATATAAGATAATGAAACGGATTCAGGAAACCTACGATTTCCCAGGACTACGACAGCTAGTCACGGAAATAATCAAGGAATGCGACTTATGTCATAAGAGCAAAGCCTCTCGATATAAACCCTACGGATAGCTATAACCTATTGCACCACTAGATAGAGTATAGAAATCAATAGCTATGGACTTTATCGTTAAGCTACCCAAATCTAAGGAGCCTTTAACTAGGACTACCTACGACAGCATCCTCGTAATCACCGAACGACTTACGAAATACGCCTACTTCCTACCCTACAAAGAAGCTAGCACAGCAGAAGACCTAGCCTACATATTCCTACGAGTTATCACTAATCAGCATGGACTACTAGAAATAATTATATCGGATCGAGATAAGCTCTTCACATCCAAATTTTGGATATCTCTGATGAAGCAGCTCGGCAGGAAACATAAGCTATCTACAGCTTATTATTCTCAGACGGACGGTCAGACCGAACGGATGAACCAGACTCTTGAACAATACCTACGGTGTTACGTTAACTACGAACAGAATAACTAGGTACAGCTACTGCTAGTAGCACAATTCGCATATAATAGATCACACACCGAAGCAATTAATATAACGGTGTTCTACGTAAACTACGGATTCAACCCAGATATACTCAGGGAAGGCTCCGAACAGGGAACAGCACCTAAAGCAATTATATAGGTCGACAAGTTAAAAGGACTTTAAGTAAGCCTCAGATAGGATCTAGTGGTTATTTAAGACAGAATGAAGTACTATTACGATAGGAAAAGGGTTAGAGGACTAACCTTACGGAGGGGAGATAAGGTCTACCTCATACGACGAAATATGAAAATAAAACGACTAAGCCACAAACTCGATTTCAAGAAAATCGGACTATTCGAAATCAACGAAGTAGTTTCAGGAACTAACTACCGACTATCGTTACTAGACACTATGAAAATACATCCAGTATTTCATATTTCCATACTCGAACCACTCGAGACACAGCTCGAAACACACACCGACTAACACGAATACGAAGTCGAATAAATTCTAGACACTAGAAGTCAGGACAGCTAAACGGAATACCTAATCAAATAGAAGGACTACCAACCCGCAGACAACTCTTAGGAACCTATCTAGTATTTAGCATATTGCTAGAAGGAGCTTGAGAAGTTCCACCGATAACACCAAACTCCGCTAGAAGGCCAGGAGTAAACGACATATCAGGATATATGTCGTTCTACTCGAATTCGAAATCTTCAAAGAACGAAGGAGTAACCACAGCGGATGAATCCCCTACAGCACGACGCGCAGACGACGCTTCCGCCTCCTCCCGCTCGATACGCTCCAACTCCTCCATACTATCGATTCCACGACGAACCGCGCGTATCATCTTTTCAAACCACATCTTCTTCTGCTTACGTAAAAGAAGCACCTTTTCTTCTGCAGACTGTAACTCGTCCTCTAGCTTCTAATATTGGGAAGCAATCTTCCTAAGCTTAGCCGGACTGATACCCTGAATGTCACAACGCGACCGCCCTAGACGAACACACTTAGCACATCGAGACGAATCCGCCGCAGATACGGAATAAAAATCCAGACTACGACCCTCGCAGTGCGAATAAGAAGGCATAGTGATAGCGTTCTGAAGGATCGCCGAAAGAAGAGAATCCCGCTGCTCCGTCTTCTTAGCACGCGATCGAGACTTGGCAACACGACCAGACATAATGACGGCCGGATGGAGGAAAAGAAGGACTTACAGGAAGAAGTTCTAAAACGACCAGGATCTTTGAGGACAAAGATTATAAAGGAGGGGAATAATGTTACGAACCGTTGGCCCTAGACTAATATTACAGGCCCGTTAGCTGTCAGATAGGACACCTGGTTCCTAGGTTCAGAAATAATATGGCACTAGAGAAGACTAGTGTCACTTCAAGTTCAGACGGCGAAATGAACCCCTCTTCCCGAAAGTAACTCCGAAGTTCGAGGTCAGACACCTGAACAATGCACCTCCGACATTTCCGAAAGAATCTATAAAGGGCAGAGCAACGGGAGTTCGCGAGAATAAAACACAGACAATAACACACCTCATTCATATACAATCTTATGCACTTCTGACTACTCGATTGGACACACGTGATATTCGACATTAGCAGGCCAGGTGGATACAAGCATTAGGATCACGGGACCCCGCATCGGAGAAAGGAAAGAACCGACCGGGTCACGTGACTTACAAGGGTGGATATGTGGATCGCTACATATCCAATATATCTAACTGGATATATTAGTTAACTAGTACGTTATTCTTCGTCTAGTAACGAGCAGGTCCAGAATTCGAATCGTTAATCTGACCCCTTATCGGACCTCGCCTATCCGATAACGCTCGTCGGCGAATCCGTCCCCTCACGATATGTTACACGCAAAGGTGGTCAAAGATTTGTGAGGTTGTAAAAGCATGACATTCGATCTAGTCCTATGGAGCACGAAGGTTGGACTTAGTCCCGAAGGGCTAAGTCACGTGGTAACCTTGGTGGTCTTGGCAAAGCCCACCAAGGTTGCCTAACACGATAGAAGGCGCGCAGCACGCCCTCTCACCGCGAGTCTTGCCAGCGTCTAGACCACGTTACGGTCTATCCAATTGAGCGTATGGTTGAGATGTGTATATACGCTCGACGAGAACCCCAATTAGCAGGTACTACGACTTGTCGCGACAAAAAATAGTCGAGCATCTTCTGCACATCAGCAGCATCCCACCCCTGAGGACGAATTTAAGTGCCACATTACCACACTTATCGGTAGTTCAGGCAGGGGTTGTAGCACAGACTTAGGGAGGGACAGGAGGTTTAGTAGTCGTTTGGCTACAGGTTTACCTGTATAACCGCCCGACGCGGCTTCAGGGCCCTCTATATCATCTATAGCCCCTTAAGGGAGTACTTGTAGAGGTACCGAGGGTTAACACCTACGGCGTATTTAATATTATTATTATTTAGTGAACTATATATCCAACTAACAGGATATGTTAGTACAGAACATATACAAGTGGGGATTAGTGAATGAGAGATGGGTATATAAGGGACAGGACTCCTAGGTATTTCATAGATAGACAGTCTCTACTTCAGTGATTAATCTAAGCATTAATCTAACCTATTGGTGAGGTAAACTGCCTTGACGACCGACTCTATACCCCGTTACCCTACTTGAATACTTCAGTTACCTAGAGCACTATACTCCATACGTCGTTCCCCGATATTATTGCTAAAGGACCCCGCAGCAGGACTTACTTACTAGCACAAACCCTTACAGACTCTTTAGTGGTTTACGCAGCTAGACTATTAGAGGTTTCGTTACACATCTCGTTTCGTTAGCGAGAGGAATAGTTAGCGGACTTAGATCTCTTATTTATAGGGAATCCGAAAAAGTTCCGTAAGCTAAGACGTAAGGTGTTACTAGCTATAACCTATGTAGACGGCGAGTCGCGTACGCTATAGTAACGATACGTTAGGGAACGACTAAGCCCCGAAGAATAAGAAGAAGTCTGCTATAATTAGGACACTTTTAAGAAATAGACATTATCCCTACTTAAGGACGGTGAACATAAAGATACTACGCTTCGGAGGTAACTCGAGTAAGTAGAGTAGAGAGCGTATTAGTCGGCCCGAGACTTTAATATATATCTTGCTAATATTAAGGAGTAGCTACTAGCCTAGCTAGAAGAGGAGCGGGCGGAACGCTTCTTTATAAAGCTAACTACCGATTTATAGAACTATCTAGAGCTCTACGGTAGCGGAAAGCTTAGGATCCGAGTAAAAACAGTATTGTAGGCTTAAAAAGCCTAGGATAATATATGTCGATTAAGTAAGAAGCGAGATACTTCGCTAGCGATAAGATCTAGTAAATCCTCTCAGAGATATAAGGACTCTGTACCCTCAACGAGAGATCGTAAAGAGGGGTATAGCTAGACGGCTAGTAAAGCTAAGATAAAAGGTAAAGATAGGATTAAAGCTTCTCGCTAACGTACCTCCGACTCGTATACGGGAAACCCCCGAGGAGCGGACGGAAAGAGACTAAGGTATTATAAGTACGATAGTACTTATTACTTATCTAATAACGTGATCCACAAGTCATTTTCGCACACAAGTCACTTTCGCACTTTTTCAAATATTTCAACCTTTTAACTTAGCTTGTACTTTTCTTCCCTCCCACAACATGCCTCGTAAATCTAAAGAAGCCGATCTTCAGCTAGCTATTCAAGCTAAAAAGCGCAACCCTGAAATTTCATGGCGTAAGCTTGGCCATATCTACAATGTTTGCGACCGTACACTAAAGAATCGATTCGACGGCGACCAAACGCGACACGAAGCTAATATGTTAAAACGAAATTTAACTCAAACCGAAGAGGATACGATTGCCCGACGTATAATTGAGCTAGATGCGCGAGAATTTCCTCCTCGGCTTCGATACGTTGAAGAAATGGCAAATATCCTATGACGCGTACGCGACGCGCCCCGTCGGCAAGAACTGGACCATGAACTTCGTTAACCGCCGACAAGACCTCCGAACGCGTTTAAACCGTCGAATTGATTACCAGAGGGTATTTAGCGAAGATCCTATCGCGTATTACGCGTGGTTTGAGCTTTTTAGGGACACAATCGCTAAATACGGTATCCTACCGGAGGATATCTACAACTTTGACGAGACGGGCTTCCTAATGGGCATAATCACAACCGGTATGGTTGTAACGAGTGCAGAAAGACACGGACGGCCTAGACAGGCTACACAAGGAGGTCGGGAATGGGTTACGGTGATCCAGGCTATTAATTCGCAAGGTTGGGCGGTACCGCCGTACATCATCTTCGCGGGCAAGGTTCATCTTGCTTCGTGGTATCGCGGTAACGACCTACCGGCCAACTGGAATGTCGACCTTTCCCATGACGGTTGGACTACTAATAATATTGGTGTGGAATGGGCAAAACACTTTGTTCAACATATTATTAGCCGTCGGAAGGGTGCGAAAAGTCTCTTAATATTGGATGGTCACGAGAGCCACCACTCGATGGATTTTGAGACTTACCTCGCGGCGCACGGCGTAATTACATTGTGTATGCCTTCCCATTCATCCCACAAGCTCCAGCCTTTTGTATTTGGTACCTTTTAGTGTTTTGAAACGGCTGTATGGTGCGTTCGTGGAGGGTTTAATGCGAAGGCATCAAACCCATATTGAGAAGCAGAATTTCTTAGCTGGGTTTTTAGAAGCTTTCATTGGTGCTTTTCACGAAAAAAACATCAGATCAGGATTCGAAGCAGCTGGACTTGTTCCTTTTAACCCGGATAGGGTCATATCTACGTTGGATATCGCAAAAGTAGTACGAACACCGACACCCGACCCCCAATTGCCTCCCTCCGTCTGGGTTTCTAAGACGGCTACCAACACCCTCGAAGCCGAATCGAGTCAACTTTGATTAAAAGTAGCGTCCAGAGGCATCAAGACAGCTCGCCGATGCATATCTTGAACTCAATTAACTCGACTACGAAGGCTACGCATGCAATGATGCATGAGAATGCATTATTACGTCGGGAGAACGACGAGCTTCGTGAGACGAACCATATACTAAGTAAGCGTCGTAGGACGAAAAATAAGCAAATCCAATATGGAGGAGCACTTAGTATAGGTGATGCACAAGTTTTACGGGCCTTGAGGGGTGATATCAAGGTTATGGAGGAGGAAGAAGGCGGAAGCAGTCGTCCTGTAAAGCGCCGGCAGACCGGTATAAGGCGCTGTGGTATTTGCGGAGGGACTGGACATAATGCAAGGACTTGTTCAATAGAAGTAGAAACTGATAATGAAGAAGATTTTGAGTAATTTAAAGGATAAAATGCGGGTTATGCATAGGATATTACTGAATTACTTGAAGGTGCCAAGAAAAGTGCGAAAGTGACTTGTGTGCGAAAATGACTTGTGGATCACGTTAGCCCTAAATACCCTAAGAATAGGAGCGAAGGTATAGTTAAAAGAATAGAGGTATCGAAAAATGAGAGAACGAGAAAAGATATCGCTCCCTAGATAGCCCTACGGCTACGGAGCGATACCCTAATATAGGGGTAGGTACTCGGTTCTATACTGATATTATAGTCGATAGTAAGGTAGCTACCTATACCGATTTAGACTCTTATACCAAAGTAAACTACGTAAGTATCGAATTTATAAGACGTAACCGACTCTAGTAGGCAAAGTTAACCGTACCTCTAATCAGAGCTATAGATAAGATAAGATATGTAAAGGGAATTGATACAGACGCGGAATCTCTCAGACGCGGAATTTTTGCCAACTCTCGCCAACTCTCATTGGTTCAATTTTAACTGGTAAGACACTTAGATTCTGCCAGCCTTTCCTAATGTACTGCCTAGAGACCCACCTTATCGGTACAGCTAAACTACCTTATGCGTCGCGAGGCTATTCGCGAAGTAGCTACTACGATCTCTTCTATTCTTAGGAATCCAAATATCTCTACGTATCAGATATTTAGATTCCTATGCCCTCTACCATGTCCTAGCCCACAGCACAGCGTCGTGCACGAAGCCCCAGTAGCAGCAGTCAATTGTGTCCCTCAAAGCGACAGCGTTGTCATCGATCCAACGATTCCCCGCGACCCCCTTCATCCTCAAGTGGCGGCACAAGCATCGGCACAAGCATCGGTAAATACTACGGAATTGGCGATAAAGAGAGTCTCGATAATATCTTCGCCTCGTTCCCGCAGACCTTTACAACAGTACCCGAGCCCCATGGCTCCCGTCGGCGTTATCAGCCGTTATGGGAGCTGCGTAATGATCACGAAATTTACCTCTCTAACGACTTCCTACCCAATAATCGGGATCACCAACGAGTCCGTACGCCGCTCCCTGGCCCCGAGCCTCACATACCTCCTCCGTATTCCCAGACAGCCGAGCCAAGTCAGCCTTCGCCAGATGCCCAATTCGCCAACGCCCTACAGCTAGTCCGCGAGGTAGTCGGGACAGAGCGAAGACTTACTCTCGAGTTTGCCCAATCCTACGAGCGAGTTCGCCAATGGCGTGAGAGATGGGGCTACTCTCCGCTTAGATCCGATGAGTACCGATCCCCTCCGCCCTATTCACTGCTACGTTGCTCTCCGGCTCCAGTCATATCGATCTCCTCGAGTCCAGCCTCGTTTTCGCCTGACTCCGACGCGATTCCAAACCCTCCGATCACAGACGAACCAGAGCCGACGTTAGACGCTCTATTTAAGCGAGTGAATACATTTGCTAAAGCTAATGGCTTTGGGATTGCGCGATGTAGTACCTACTCTTATAAGGGCCGGAAGATTAGATGTTCAATTCGATGCGACCGGTTCGGAGATCCGGAGCCTACCAAAGGTACCGGGGCGAAGCAGCGCAAGTCTCGCAAGTGTGGATGCCAGTGGATGCTGATGGCCGAAGCAATCGAGGAGGGGAAGTGGCTCCTTCGGCATTACCCAAACCACCAGCATAGCTAGCATAATCATAGCCCTAGCCTTAAACCCTCGGCACATCCTTCCCACCGGAGGCTCACCGAGACCGTCAAGAATACTATCGAATCTACAAGCCATCGCGTAGGCATTCGCGCCCGTGATGTACGTGCTATTGTCCAAGAGCAACATCCCGACTCTGTCCTTACGCAAAGAGATATCTATAACGCTAGGTCTCTAATTAACCGCGAGAAGTTAAAGGAGTACACACCAACCGCGGCTCTAATTAAGCTCTTCGATGAAAGCAAGACTCCCTATGTTATCAAGTGGGCAGATGATGAGCCTAATCATCTCGTTGGGCTCATCTAGACAACTCCCTACTGTGTTGGAATGTGGAAGCGCTTCCCTGAGGTTATCAGCTTCGACAATACCTATAAAACTAATCGCTTTAAGCTACTGTTGTTCCAAGCCACTGGGCAGACGTGCCTCGGCACAGTCTATAATGCCGCCTTCGGATTGATCGATAATGAGCGAAGAGAGGGGTTCCAGTTCTTAGCGGAGGGTATCCGACAACTGATAGAGGAGCATGAGGTTCGAGAGCCAGACGTTATTATCACCGACTTCGATGATTCAATGAAAGCGGCCCTAAACGATCAATTCCCCGACGTACAGCAGCAGCTCTGTATCCACCATATCAATTCGAATGTCCTTCTTCGAGCCAAACAAAAGTGGGTAAAGGATCACAGTCCTAGCAGCGGTAGCGAGGATAGCAGCGAAGACGAGATCCCCGCGCTATCACAGGCCTACCTCTCAGCCGCAGATCAACAGCATATCGAGGCGCTAGTAGATAAGACTATCCCCCATACTTACCGCGGTATCCTTGATATGTGGAAGCGAGTTCTATTCGCAGAGACTAAGGAGGCACACGAGAAGGCATGAACCGACCTATGTGAGGAGTTCAATGACCAGCGGCCTATTCTGCGTTACCTTTACGGTACTTATATGCCTGTGAGGGAACAATGGGCACGCTGTTTTATCCGGCGGTACCGCAACTTCGGCATCCGCGTTACATCTGGCACCGAAGCAAGCAATAACAACGTTAAGAGCTATCTACTAAATGGTACGAGCCAGCTATACCGTCTTACCGAAGCTATCCAGGACATGATCAAAGACCAAGAGCGAGATTTCAAGGATGCCTGTGCCCAGGACGAGATTCTAAGGCACCGCGAGTATCTCGGCGGAAGCACCGAGAACTTAGGCGAGCTCCGAACCCTAATAGCATCGAAGGGTCTCGGGTTAATCAAGATACAATACCACCTTACGAAAAAGGCAATGCCTACTGCACAGAGACCCTTTCCGCCGCCCCTCGGCGAGTGTAGTGAGGACTGCACCATCTCGGTTGAGCTTGGTATTCCATGCTACCATAGGATCTACTCGAAGTTATCGGCTGGGGAGACATTGACAAAGTGGGACATACATCCGCGTTGGCGACTACGAGAGACGTCGTCTCGAGACCCATACCGTCGAATTCTCGATCCAAAGATCGCTACGGCACTTCGCGGGAGACCCAAGAACACCTCACAGCCAGTCCCGGCGCACCTAGCAATCCATCTCGGCAGTCAGCAACGTAGCCAACCATGCAGTCAGGCAGGACAGCCGGTTAGCCAGGGCTCGTTACAACGGAGGCGGGGCCGACCCCCAGGGAGCAGAAACAGGTCGACTTTAACAAGGCTCGCGCAGCAGGCTAGACAGGAAGCCAGCGACGATCGATCTTATCGACAGACGCGAAGTCAGGTGGATACATTAGGTATTGGAAGAACAACAGGAACGCGTGCACGTGGGCGGCCGATGCAGCCTAGTATTCGGAGGCGGAGGAGTCAGTGGGAGATTTGTCTTAGTAGCGACGAGGAGATCTTGTGACGGTGACGGCCGTGTGACGCCGGTGTCACAACAGACCCCACCGACAGAGGACCTGAGGCACGGGCCATCTGAACGTGGGATTGAAGAATGTCAGATGAGAGCCAGGTAGTTGTAGTTTCTCTTTCCTTCCTTGTCTAGAATCGTGAAGTTAATATGGTACATTAGAGTGTCTTGACTCTTCAATTGTGCTTACCGTAACAGATCTTACCATATCGCACAAGGTCTAATAAGCAGTAATTAAAGTAGGATTAAGCCCGCCTTTGCTAGACGTTTAGGAAAGTAAATACTTATATACTGCTAGATGTTTCCTTTCTAATGGGTCGCGAATACGCTGGCTGCGCCAACAGGTATTAAATGCGTTGGTGTGTTGACTGCCTTCTATTTTGAGCGTTGTTAAGGTGTGTCGACTTACCAGGGGCTCCGAGTGGATAGGCAAGGCGAAGGAAGTCCCGGCCGCCCTCCTAGACCACTGGGAGAAGAGATGGCTCTCCGGGGCAGCACAACACGACCGCCAGCGACGCGCTATCGCCGAGGAGCCGGAGGGCCCCTCGATGCGAATGCCGAAACAGGGCAAGTACTCAGACCTAAACCGACCGGAGGCGTCTATCCTATGCCAGATCAGGACCGAAAAAATAGGACTATCAGCTTTCTTATTTAAGATAGGAGCCTTCGGTGTGTACTCGCCGTTATGCCGCTGTGGAGACGCCCCCGAGACGGCAGAGCACGTAATCCTCGTTTGCGGCCTACTGGAAGAATCGAGAGAGCGCCTACGGGCCACTATCGCACCATGGCCGCTGCATACACGTAGAGACCTGGCAACGGCGACGGGGAAACCAGTAGTCAGCGGGACTATCACAAGGTGGCTACTCAGGACTGGCCGGATAGCGCTTAGGCCCGGATAATATCGATCTTCTCAGGGGGACTTTGTTAGTAGGGTGAGAACTAACATAGTATTGTGGTGGACGTAACGCAGTCGCTAATAGAGCGAACCTACGTAGCAGCGTATGTATTTAGTCCAGCTATTAGGGCACGGTTTGACATACGGGAGCACTTGTAGAGGTACCGGGGGCTTCGAGCCTACAGCGTATTTAATAATAATAATTATTTCAGACTACTAAGATAGATCAGAAAGTAATAGCCCTTATCCTGGTGGATAGCTAATATCGATCCCTACTTAATTATATCCTTAAGTAGTACGTCTAGCTCGTCGGTAGTAATAGTAAACGTAAGCTAGTCGACTTAATAGAACTAGAGCTCTTCGTCTCTAATTATTACGAAATCCTAAAACTCCTCCGTATCTATAATCTCTATAAGTCGTCTCCCGCGTAACGACTTTATTTAGAGTAGTCCTTCGACGGCGAGAAGCATACCTAGGATTTCTTGAAGCTTCGGGCTAACCGAGACCTCTTAAAGTTTTAGAACGTTAATAAGACGGCTCTTCTTAAAGACGTCGGCCCCGTTTTCGTTAAGGCTTAAAATAGCGGTCCTCTCGGCAAGTACTTATTACTTATAGTGTCTGTGACGGTCAACCCTCGCAGACTCACTACAACCAGGTGACTTACAGCTGGAACACCTGCCGTGGCAGTGTCAGATGGGAAGCCAATCATAACCCTTGTAGGAGCCCCGCCAAGCGTGGATGACTTAGTCGCGCTCCCTCAAACCTAAGTTGTCATCTTCTTTCCTTCGCTCCTTAGAGTAGAATCTTCGTCGATAGCACCTAATCGAGGTCTATACCAATGCGATGCAACCCAGGTCGTGACAGTGTCTCGTCCTCTTCGCCTGTAAGGCTTCTTTACATAACTCTTTAGACGTCCGTATATTCTACTACTCTATTTCTATTTTAATTAGGCGTAACGAAAAACTTGTAGTAACACAAATCCCTATAAAGGGTATATTGGTAAATACTAGCGATCTAGTCTAAAAGTCGGTGAGGCTAATAAAGATCGAATCCACCTTATATAGCCTTTCTTTAGCTATAAGTAGATCCCTAGGTATAAGGGAGGCTCTTATAGTAATTATCTCTAGTAGTAAGGTAAGCCGTATTACTATACTATAATTAACATTAAATACGCCGTAGGTGTTAACCCTCGGTACCTCTACAAGTACTCCCTTAAGGGGCTATAGATGCTATAGCGGGCCCTGAAGCCGCGTCGGGCGGTTATACAGGTAAACCTGTAGCCAAACGACAACTAAACCTCCTGTCCCTCCCTAAGTCTGTGCTACAACCCCTGCCTGAACTACCGATAAGTGTGGTAATGTGGCACTTGAATTCGTCCTCAGGGGTGGGATGCTGCTGATGTGCAGAAGATGCTCGACTATCTTTTGTCGCGACAAGTCGTAGTATCTGCTAATTGTCAGATAGGACACCTGGTTCCTAGGTTCAGAAATAATATGGCACTAGAGAAGACTAGTGTCACTTGAAGTTCAGACGGCGAAATGAACCCCTCTTCCCGAAAGTAACTCCGAAGTTCGGGGTCAGACACCTGAACAATGCACCTCCGACATTTCCGAAAGAATCTATAAAGGGCAGAGCAACGGGAGTTCGCGAGAATAGAACACAGACAAGAACACACCTCATTCATATACAATCTTATGCACTTCTGACTACTCGATTGGACACACGTGATATTCGACACTAATTGGGGTTCTCGTCGAGCGTATACATCTCAACCATACGCTCAACTGGATAGACCGTAACGTGGTCTAGACGCTCGCAAGACTCGCGGCGAGAGGGCGTGCTGCGCGCGAAGTCTATCGTGAGGGGACGGGTGTCGAATATCACATGTGTCCAATCGAGTAGTCAGAAGTGCGTAAGATTGTATATGAATGAGGTGTATCGTTCTCTGTCCTCTCGAACTCCCGTTGCTCTGTCTTTTATAAATTCTTTAGAACATGTCGGAGGTACATTGTTCAGGTGTCTGACCCCTAAGTGGACAGTAACTTTGGTGTTACTTTTGGGAAAAGGGGTTCCTTTCGCCTTCTGAACTTTAAGTGACAATAGTCTTCTCTAGTGCCATATTATTTCTGAACCTAGGAACCAGGTGCCCTATCTGACAACGGGTTCGCCGACGAGCGTTATCGGATAGGCGAGGTCCGATAAGGGGTCGGATTAACGATTCGAATTCTGG